GGCATTTAGAGACAAAGGATATGGTGGGTGGCATGATGAGAGACAGACAGGATGGGGGTGTCCTATTGAAAAGTGGCACTGGAAATGAAACTGGGGATGTTTACTGGAAATGTGATTGAACTGTACTGAGGATTGGACAGAATTATGTTATAATTATGCCTGGGGTAGTTGAATGGGGAATATGGATTGGGGCCAGCACCAAGAAGTGAAATATGAATGGTACAGATGAAAGATTATTTTTTTGTTATTGTAATGAAATTTGTGTGGGTGGTACTTTGAGTGGACATGACTTCAGAAAGTGAGGCTTTATGTTAATACTTTTATTACTAGCAAACTATCAGTTATGGTGGTAAATCTTCCTGAATTGCAATTTAAATAAAAGTCTACAATAGACACTCCGTCACACAAAATAAATATACTAGGATAACAATAATATGTCCCAAAAAAAGTCTTAACTTAACTTAACAATTCTTGCTTTAGATCAAATGGTCTGTAACGTGCATGGTCAGGGATAATGTCCACGCAGATCTTCCCCGGGGAGATCCAGTAATATATAAAGACAAAAGATAGAACAAAATAGTGCAATATATCCAATAGGGTAAAATAAAAGATAAAAGGAAGACGGTAATGCACTCACATGAGTAAGAGCTATAGCTAGCTCTAGTATGGACAGCGTACAGCGGTACAATCCCCGCTTATGGGATATGGTGCAGGTGTCTTGCTTCAAAGGTATGTTCAGTACTCAAAGAGAATAAAATAGAGACAACCGATAGTGCTCTCTGAATAAAACAATGGTGATAAAATATATATAAAAGGGTACTCACAAGGGTTGGGTAAACAAAATGCCCACTGGTATAAGCGTTGGTGGTTTGATCCCCACCTAGGATTTCTTGGAGTCCACAACGATAAAAATGCCAGGTAAAATTCAAAAGAAATATTATAGAGTGTATAAAAGATGATTGGCACAAATAAAAGTAACCAACAGAGCTTTAATGAGTAAAATACACAATATAAAATCCACAAACGCGTTTCGCCTAAAAGGCTTTCTCAACATGGAATTAAAACATAATACCTGGCAGGTATGAGGGTAAGAATTGATTGAAATTGGCGCTTAAAATCCGGTCAGCCAATTAGAATACATATACAAGTAAAATTAATAAAACATGTTAATAAGATAAAAATAACAATAAGATGAAGTAATAGACATAGTGTAATACATTAAAATTACAAAACGAGCGTTAATCCGCTAGATATAAACGTTATAGTGCGGTCACGTGATTATATCCGTGCCGCAATGGGGATTGGGAAATGTAGTAGGCGTGCGCGCATGCGCACGCACTAGGGGCAGCCATCAGCACGCATAAGTATTGCGGCCGGCAAGGGGAGGAGGGCGGAAAGTGGGGGCTATGGCTTAATAGCCAATTAAATTAAAGGGGGGCGCGGGCAGGGAAAGCCCCTATATTGCCGACGGCTGTGATCACTATCCTAGCCGTTCGGCATATCTCTGCTTTCCCTGCCCGCCCCCCTCTCTTATTGGCTATAATAAGCACGTTACAGACCATTTGATCTAAAGCAAGAATTGTCAAGTTAAGACTTTTTTTGGGACATATTATTGTTATCCTAGTATATTTATTTTATGTGGCGCAGCCTCTTTTCTGTATTTTCTCTCCTGTTGTTTTCTAAGGGGACTTTGAGGGATTCCCTTTGTGGTTGCTGCCTTACTCATTACTTAGCGCTGACTCTCTATTTTGATTTTAATAGACACTCCATACCTAGTAGTTAAGGTACCTTCCTTTCAGATGGTCCATATTTTTTTTTCATGTGTCATCATATAAGTGATTTTAATTTACATTAAGCCTAATGCACTCATCTGAACACCGACATATATGTAATTCATGAAATATTAAAAAAGTAATGCAGTTTTCCAAACAGCTTAACAGCGCTAAAAGATGTACATTAAATGATTAAAATATGAATTACAGGAAGGACCGAACAACCAACTATGATGAATTAGAGGAATATGATTATATAAATATTTAATTATTTAGTAATAATAACAATTAAGATCACATTTTTTTCCAAGTCAAACACAAATCTTTGTGGGTGCCAGTACATTTTGCACAAACCAAATATTTAAATATATATATATATATAATATTCCTGTCATATAAAACATACATCATCATGAAGTGTGTTTTAGCAAAAAATAATTCCATTTATTGGATCAGGGTTCAGGACACAAACATGTATCCCTGCCCTATAGTGTTAAAAACACTATTTAGCCCTCCTACCCACTTTGATTACAGTTAAAACGTACCTTTATTACAGCACCATGCAGGTCTGCTGTCGCTGGCTCCACCCCTGATTCACCTCCTTGGCTGACATCATCAGAATTGATGATCTCACCCAATCCAATACTTTCCAATAGGAAAATTCTGAGATTTTCAATTCTGATAATGTTAGAAGGCAGGGTGGGAGCAGAGCCAAACGCAATCATGAATTAATGCAAAGTTCAGTGACTCCATGCAGAGGCACGTTGTGCAGCACTGACCCAGGAAGCACCTCCAGCGGCCGTCTGAGTGACTTTCACTGGAGGTGTCGCTAGGCTGTAATGTAAACACTGGCTTTTCGCTGAAAATGCCTGCAGGGACTGACTATACTCAACAGAACAACTACGTTACGCTGTAGTTGTTCTGGTGACTATAGTGTCACTTTAACTCCAAAACTGAATACTGAGAGGTTTTAAATGTTTCCTGACACAATATACACTTTACAGATATGTAACCTACATCTGAAGTGTCACTTTAAACTTTAAATATAATGTCTCAACAGAACAACTACGTTACGCTGTAGTTGTTCTGGTGACTATAGTGTCACTTTAACTCCAAAACTGAATACTGAGAGGTTTTAAATGTTTCCTGACACAATATACACTTTACAGATATGTAACCTACATCTGAAGTGTCACTTTAAACTTTAAATATAATGTCTCAACAGAACAACTACGTTACGCTGTAGTTGTTCTGGTGACTATAGTGTCACTTTAACTCCAAAACTGAATACTGAGAGGTTTTAAATGTTTCCTGACACAATATACACTTTACAGATATGTAACCTACATCTGAAGTGTCACTTTAAACTTTAAATATAATGTCTGGAAACAAAATGTATTTCCTTACTTACAATACTGTAAATTACCGTTACTATGAATCAAAAACAGAGAACATGCAAAAGCTCAGAAAACAAACTTGTCTTTTAGTTAATCCTCACTCAGATCTCAAAAAAAAGTTATTGGTCGCTTCTGGACATCTAGAACAATGTCCTTTGGACAAATGAGACAAAATTGGAAATGTTTGCCTATAGTGCACAGTGCCACATTTGATAAAAATCAAACACGGTGATGGAGGGCTGATTGAGCTTGTTTTGCAGCCACAGGACCTGGGAACCTTGCAGTCATTGAGTCAACCATTAACTCCTCGGTATTCTAAAGTATTCTAGAGTCAAATATGAGGACAAGAGCTTGGTTTTAAGTTGATTTAAGGTTTATTAATTCAATTTTTGGTTATGTTTTTATTGAAATGCAATGCCTCTCAATCCCTTTAAATAAAAGCTACAAAAGCTATATCCAGTTACAGTCTCTTTGTGTTTTATTGTGTATGTCTTTGTTTTTTTTATGTTATTGGTAATTGGCAATGGACATTACCTGCCGTGTCCAAATTGAATTTCCACACATTTTTCGTCTTTAAAAAAATCCTTAAAATCACACTTTTATAGGAAGGCAGATGAAATAACCAATAAACCTTTTTTGCCTCTACTTCTCCCCCAGAGTCTTCACTGATCTCACCATTTCCTTCTACATCTACATCTCTCGGGGAACGATTTATCAGGGGACAACTGGTGCTATCTGGGGCAAAATGCTGAATAAAGAGTAATCACCATGGAAACCAATAGAATGTATCCCTATTTAGTTCCATGCACCTAAAATTGTTTGTCTTGTCTTGCTCACTCTCCCCCATAATGTTTGCGAGCTTTACATCTTTCATGTAATGTTATCTAGTTTCCTTTAGATTATCTTTCATGTAATGTTATCTAGCTTCCTTTAGATTGTAAGCTCAGCTGATCGGCCTCGATTTTATATTTTTGGCCAAACAATTTCAAATGATTTTGTATTTTTGTATAAACTTTTACAATCATTTCATTTTTTGAAAAATACTCTAATATTTTTATATGTTTAGATACCTTGATATATTTTTTACATTTTTTTGGGAAAAAAGGATTTTAAAACACTTGTCCAAAAATATTTAATCATTTGAAAAGCTTACCCCAAAAAATTAAATCAGGGCCTCTGTTACAAGTCAAACGTGTTTGATTGCACTTAGATGTATGTCTTGTTTATCTACTCAACTGCACTGTGGATGCTGTTATGATGTCATGATAGCACTTTATAAATAAAAAATAATAACTAATAACATAAGACAGACTCATTTGCAGTAAAGCCATAGAAAATGGGATTCTTTTATTTGCTTGTTTTTTCTTACTGTCTGCTTAAACGCTGTCATTTTGTCATGCTGTCAGAATTTTAGAGCAATCTAATCTATGCTCTGAAAATTAGGACATTCTTCTATGTGATCCCTGCTGTATCTGTATGTCAATGTCAGGAAAAGCAATGATGTCTTGGACTTTGAAGCCATAAAACCTGGAATAGCTCTGGGGACAATTAGAGATAAAGACCAACAATAGAATGAGCTCTACAGGTTGTCTAAGCTGTCTGTAACGATTTATTGCACTACTACACAGACTATTATTATATATAAAAGCTTTACTCATAAAACATTGCCAGTCAGCCCCACCACAAGATTGCATTGATTGATTGTGTAGATGTTGCTTTCTTTGCAAAAAAAATAAAATAAAAAATGAGCTGGAGATCCTCCCACCGCCAAGTATAAATAAAATGCTTCAACGGCCAACAGGTCTGAGACTTGTATGAACAGATGGTGGAGAGAAAACATACAGCCTCAGACAGGAAGAGCTGGTGAAAGGGTTACATAGAGAAGAGCCAGCCCCCTACCTGCTAAATTGTCAACTGAGCATCGCAAGGACAAACACTGTGTGTGAGAGAGTGTGTGTGTGTCTGAGAATGACGCTTCTCCATCAGCTCCCAGCTCAGATTACCTTGAATTGTTGACATTGACACTCAGTCAGGACAACCCAGGAACCAAGGAGACAGCAGAGCCTGTATGTCTACCTAGGAAACCAGAGAGACCCACGAATCAGCATCCAAGCTCTGTTGCTGGGTTATTGGAGGAAAATATCTGCAGATGTCCTAGTCTGATTTTGGAGGGGTTAATGTGATCTGGCTTCCTGATTTCACGAAAACACCTGATGCAAATCCACCAAGACAGAGAACAAATAGAAGGATTCTAGAGCACTCCAGACACTCAGGATGTCAGACAATCCAGATACCAGGATTCTAGAACGCCAGATTCTCCAAACAGCAGCATTCTAGAATGCTAAATAACAAAGATTTTAAACACCAGGCTCTCCAAACAACAAGATTCTAGAACGCTAGGCTCTCTAATTAACGCATTTCTAGAGTAAAAACTCAAATATTGCCTCTGGTTTTGAGCAAAATAAGTTTTCACTCTAGATTTCGGTGTTGGTGCTTGTAACTAAGAACCATTTGTTGATTCTGCATTAGTGACCAGATAGTAAGGGAGACTCGTTTTTTTTGAACAGCAGATGGTTTCATTTTTTTTTTTCTTTTTGTTTATTTTGGTTGTTGCAATTAGATGTTCATTTTGAACAGAATGGCTATTTAAGCAGGTAAAGCCCCAGTTCAGTACCTGAAAAAGAATGATTCAATCTAGATCAGTGTCTGCAAACAGAAAGCACTTTGTTTAGGAGTTGCTGCGGTGCATGAGAAAGGTTATACAGCTGAAAAATAGGATTCAGGTACCAGGAAAAGCAGTAACCTAGAGGGAATTTTTATAGAGCCTGTAAAACATCACATTCGGCACCTGCCAAGCATCCTAATTACTCTCCATCCAGAAACCCAGAAAACATCCTACCGTATGAATACCTGGGAAGGATTGCACCCCACCCACTAAAAACATTCTGAAAGGAAGCCAAACTAAGTCCTCCCTAAACAAGTACAAGCCCTTTCTCAGCCCATAGAAAGGAATGTGAGTTGCTCTCCAGTGGGGATGTTTATTTCCCTCTGTGTCCCCTGATTGCCGACTGAATTCTCCAATTGCCTGAGACAATTCTCCTCCATCATCCCAGGCACTCCCCTTCCAAGCGCTGAGCTCTCTGCATCTCTCTCCTCCTCTCCTCCTTCTGTCACCTGTTGGAAGGTCGCCGTGGGGTCCTTGTTGTCTCCCACCCCAGACAGTCTCTCTGGAGGACCCTGAGACTGTCCAGAGGGGTCTCACCCGGAGAGATCTATGATTAGTTCGGTGTGTGTATCCTCCTACCGTGGGCGCAAGTCTGGGAACAAACCCCCCTCCAAAACATGTCTGAAAGAAGAGATGACCAGAGGAGAAGACTCCGGCAAGATCACCATAAACGTTGGGGGCACGAGGCATGAGACCTACAAAAGCACCTTGAGGACCTTGCCTGGCACCCGCCTGGCATGGCTGGCAGACCCGGAGACATCCAGCACATCAGAGACAGACACTCAACCCAACGAGTTCTTCTTTGACAGGCACCCGGGGATTTTTTCCTACGTCCTCAACTACTACCGGACTGGGAAGCTGCACTGTCCGGCCGATATATGTGGACCTCTCTTCGAGGAGGAACTGGCTTTTTGGGGGATAGATGAGACGGACGTGGAGCCCTGTTGTTGGATGACCTACCGCCAGCACCGAGACGCCGAGGAGGCTTTGGACATCTTCGAGAACGTGGAACCTGAGGATGGAGATGGGGAGAAAGATTCCACCCCTGAGCTGCTCTGCATGGAGGACAGGCCGGACAGATCCAAGAGCTGCTGGAAGCGGTGTCAGCCTCGCATGTGGGCACTTTTTGAGGACCCGTACTCATCCAGAGCTGCCCGGGTGAGTTTTTACATCTTTACCACCCTCACTTCTTCCATAAAAGGTACTGTAACTTGTAACCTCTCCTTACATTGTGCAGTAGCCCCTCTAACTAATGTTTTATACTGCGTGGGCTCCAGTTACAACTTCATTCTTTGTGTGGAGTGTCTATTTTCTAATTAATGTAAAGTGGGCTGATTTAGTGATGCAAAGGTTATCTAGAATTATATCACTTGTGGTTAGTGAATGTATATTCTCTCTAGAGTACCTTGCTTAACACGAAAAGAAAACCATACTATCATTTATAGTCTCCTCTACAATTATTAGGTTACAGTGTCATTGTGTAGAGACCTAGGTTTTCGGTTGAAAATTAAAACTCAATAAAATGTTCATGACACTGAACAAGACTATTTCAGTAGCTCAATCTCTGTTTATAATAGCAAATACAGCCTTCAGGCTTGAAAACCAATGCAAGGGCCTCACCATCACTCCTCCTTTTATTTGCTAACTGACATAGGCAACTCATGGAGGCATTAATGTCTTGTTTGGTTTGGATATTTTGCTCATCATCACAGAGCAAATTCCACACTCCAGTTTGTTGTGCCTTATAAATAATCTTCATTATTCAGTGTATAGATCACATATGAATAGGTGCCCAGTTATCTAAAAGTACACCTAAAGCTGAATCGTTTAGAGAGGTCTCATTTTAGCCTACAGAGGTGCAAGTGTAAAGACTTTCAGGAGCTGCCCCACCTCATATTAGCGATTATAGAAACAATATTTTGAATATCTGTTCTAATGTTAAAATTATTGTGTGCCTCTTTTGCAGATGGTGGCCTTTGCATCCCTATTTTTCATTCTTGTTTCGATTACAACTTTCTGCTTGGAGACTCATGAAGCATTTATTGTGGCAAGAAATGTGACAGAAGTGGTAACAGAAGGTAACATTACAGAGATTGTAGTAGTAACAGAGGTTGAAACAGAACCTGTTCTCAACTATATTGAGGGTGTTTGTGTGTTTTGGTTCACCTTGGAGTTCTTTGTCAGGATCATCTGCAGCCCAGATAAAATTGTCTTTGTGAAGAACATGTTGAATATAATAGACTTTGTAGCCATACTCCCATTTTACCTGGAGATGGCCCTTAGTGGGTTGTCCTCAAAAGCAGCAAGGGATGCCTTGGGCTTCCTACGGGTTGTACGCTTTGTTCGGATTTTACGTATCTTCAAACTGACTAGGCATTTTGTGGGTCTGCGGGTTTTGGGACACACTCTTCGGGCCAGCACTAATGAGTTCCTCCTTCTCATCATTTTTTTGGCTTTGGGTGTCCTCATATTTGCCACCATGATTTACTATGCAGAAAGATTAGGTGTAGAAACTACAGACCCCAGTCTGATGAAGAAAATACATTTCAAGAACATTCCAATAGGGTTCTGGTGGGCAGTGGTTACAATGACCACATTGGGTTATGGAGATATGTATCCACAGACATGGTCTGGTATGTTGGTGGGTGCCCTTTGTGCTCTAGCTGGGGTTCTCACTATTGCCATGCCTGTTCCAGTAATTGTGAATAATTTTGGGATGTATTACTCACTGGCTATGGCTAAACAAAAGCTCCCAAAGAAGAAAAAGAAACATGTCCCAAGACCAACTCAGTTAGACTCTCCAACTACTCTTAGGTCGGAGGACAACTCACATCATAACAGCACCCAAAGTGACACCTACCCCCTGGCTGCAGAGGAATTAACAGAGAAGAAAAGATCAGGTAAGAGTCAGAGTGCTCGAAGCCAGAGATATGCAGATGGTGTTAAATTTGAACTTCAGTAATGGTATTTGTTGTTTCTATAGAGAGATATTCAGATGAAAGAAATATAACTGAGACAACAATATTGTGTGGATTATACTAATATCATGGTCTATAAATGAGCTGGGATATTTCTCTTTGCTAATGGACCAGAAGTAGCATTGTTAGTTGAAAAAAAAATCAATTTCATCTGATTGCAGAGTAATAATTTTCATTTCAATTGAAAAATGTCTTAATTGAACCAAGAGAAAAGCAAACTTGTTGTAATTAGTTTAGCCTTGAAACATGAATCTCTGGGGTTTAATGACTCTGTACTTCACCTCCAAATAACTAACATATTTGGTCCTGTAAATGCTGTCAGATTTAAATGATGACTCTCACTAAAATACCCTTCCTGTGTTGGAACAAGATGCAGTAGATTGCTTTTAATGGGGTTATTCATTAAACTGCATATTTAAGAGCAGAATAAGAGACCTAGAGAGCAATTTCTTGGTGTATGCACTTAATTTTTTTCCCTTTTGTAATTAAAGAGACACTTTAGGCACCATAACGACTTTAGCTTCATGAAGCAGTTTTGGTGTATAGATCATGCCCCTACAGTCTCAGTGCTTAGTTCTTTGCCATTTAGGCGTTAAATCACTTTGTATATTCAGCCCTTATCACACCCTCCTGCAAGTGACTTTCTTAAAAACATCCCGTAAAGAGAGATGTAATGTTTAAACTTCCTTTATTGCACATTCTGTCTAATTTAGAATTTCTTATCTCCTGCTCTGTTAATAGCCTTCTGCACCCTTGTAGGAGCCTCCAGTGTGCAATTAAAGATCAAGTTACATTGCAATAGGTAAAATGTCTAAAGCAAGTAACCATCTGATTGAAAATAAAAACATTGTTTTAATGCAGATAGGGAAGGTGTGGCTAAGGTTGCATAAACAGAAGCAAGGTGATTTAACTCCTAAATGGCAGAGAATTGAACAGTGAAATTGCAAGGGATTGATCCATACGCTAAAACTGCTTCATTAAGCTACAGTTGTTTGATGCCTATAGTGTCTTTTTAAGTTGTATTGAATATTCCAAGGAATACAAAAAGCACATTCAATACATAAGAACAAATAAGAGCACTGTCAATGCATAGGGTTAGAGTTTCCAAATTTTACGATTGCATTAGAAATACAAAACTGTATTCCTAACCCTATAGTGTCCCTCTGTAATTAACTGAAAGACCCACCCTCACTGTCAAATAAACGCTTAAAAATAATTTTATTCACTTTCCTATTTCCAGTGCTAGAGTCCATCGGCACTAGCTCACTCTCTTCCTCATCCAACGTCATGGCAATGGGAGAAACTAATGCCCATGCGGGGTGAGCGCTATCTCATTAGGATTTTGAAGATGCTGGACATCCTCATGCAAAGAGTGAGGACATCCAGGGTTTTTTCACTGAGTTAAACTCTGTGAAAATCCAGAAAGCTTCTCTAGTGTCTAGTTCAGGGATAAGCAACCTTAGGCAGACCAGATGTTGTGGACTAGATCCTCCAAAATGCTCTGACACCCATAATGCTGGCAAAGCATCATAGGTGTAGTCCAAAACATCTGGAGTGCCGAAGGTTGCCTATGCCTGGCCTAGTTTCTGGGAGATAGCCACTAGAGGCTGTCTTAACCCTGCAATATAAACATTGCAGTTTCTCTGAAACTGCAATGTTTGACATTGCAGGACTAAGGGGGACAGAGGCACTGCACAAAGACCACTTCAATGAGATGAAAACAAGAACATTGACCCAGTGCACAAACCGTAAGAAGTAGAAGAGGGGAATAAAGCACATCATGTGTTTTAATCCTTTATGAGCCTAAGGGAAAAGCACATTTTTTTAGTTAAGGTTTCATTTTAGTAATAGAAAGATCACTCTGATTTTTTTATGTAATTTGTTTGCATCAAATGCAAAGCTGTGCTAGGGGACATCTAAACATAAAAGGAAAGTTCAAAAGTCCCATGACTCCCTCTGTGCAACCTGCATGTGCATGTGTGTGAGAGTGAGAGTGTATGTATGGATGCAGGGAAGCCTAGTGCACTTGGGAACATGACAACACCAATCCTTCAGAGGTGCAAGTGTGTGCATATGCACCTCTGCACTTCGCTAACTTCTAATGTCGTGAGTTAACGAAGAAATGCTATTAACGTAAAGCAGACAATCAGTCATTAAACGAAATGTACTGCCTTTAAAACAAGGGAAACAAATCAAAATTAATGTCTACAGCAGGGATAGGCAACCTTTGGCACTCCAGATGTTGTGGACCACATCCCCCATAATGCTTACACCCATAATGCTGGCAAAGCATCATGGCAGATGCAGTTCAAAACATCTGGAGTGTCGAAGGTTGCCTATACCTGGTCTACAGTAATGCACTGTGTAGCACCTTAATAAAGTGCTCCTCAACCCTCTCCTCCAGGCACACCTAACAGTCCAGGATTTAGGGATTACCCAAATGTGTCTGAGGTGTTTAGAAAAATAAAACACTTTAGAGTATAAGTTGTTTTTAGTTTTTTTAAAAACACCTTAGACACATTCAGGTAATCCCTAAATTCAGGACTGTTATGTGTGCCTGGAGAAGAGGGTTGAGGAGCACTGCCTTAATACATATTATATGTATTATTTTGACGCATAAAAAAGAAAATGCACTTGGGCATGTAGCAATGAATTCTCTTATTCCTTCCCTCCTTAAATAAGTAAAGAAAGGCCATAAAAATGCAGTTTTAGACATAACATTTCTGCATCCAAAATGCTACTGTTTTAATAATGACACCGACACAAGTTGTATTGTTTAGGTTAGTGGTTTCCAAACCAGTCCTCAAGGCACACCCAGCAGTCCAGGATTTAGGGATTACCCAGTTGTGTCAAGGTGTTTTTTTTTTCTTTCTCAAAATACCTTTGACACAACTGAGTAATCCCTAGATCCTGGACTGGTAGGCGTACCTTGAGGACTGGTTTGGAAACCACTGGTTTAAGGTGATCTACCTCATATGGATTTATATTATTTATAGGTGTAACTTCCTCCTTAATGTTCTAAAACTGTTAAGCTCTCACCTCATGAAAGCATTAAATTGATATTATCTTATAAACAGATATTTGTTTAATAAAACTTAGATAATATCATCTTCTATTCAGAGGAAATCAGGACATTAGGCTTAGTGCTGCCTACGGGGAGACACAATGTTTGTACTGTCTGGAGTATGAAAAAAACATAATAGTTATTAGTATTCTTAAAAGGACTCTCTAAGCACAAGAATCTCTACAGCTCATTATTTGGTGTTGTAGGTCTTTGGGTGCTCACCCCGCTTTTTGGAGAGATCTGATTAAAAAATGGGGCTTTCTCTGTAGGCCCTGCATCCACTCTGATAATGTGAAAGGGTCACTTGCACGTTACCTGTCCAAAGCATCAAGTCTTGTCTCAATGAATCTTCTGTATTATCTGGTTGGCTGTGGAAGGGTTGGCTTTTGGCTCCAGGAGAGACCTTTTTATGCCACACGCTCCAATGTTTTGTAATAGATTCATAGCACCACAGACACTACAGTGAGTTTTAGGGATTATAGTGTTTAGAGTGCTCCTTAAATGTCATAAACATACGCAACTATATAATGTTCTACTTTATGTAATGCTACATGTTATACTATATAATGCTATATCTTATACTACATATAGATATATATTTTACAACATAATGCAATGGATGACACTGCCTTATGATTTTATTGTTTAAAATGCTTAAAATGCATGAGCAAAATTGGTTTAAGGAATGCATAGTGTTAAACCTACCAGTCATCGAACTACTGCACTTACATTAGCAGCTAGAACAATTAAAGACTGTGACATGGAATTAGATGGTTCAGAAACATTGCTTTGTCTGCTACATCCCATTCCTCCAAAGCTGTCTGTGTTGACTGATCCTGATATTTGCTAAAACCCATCCTTACTGTTTATTAGCTCACAGCTTAAGAATATTTCTTCCACCTTATTCTGCTTTGCCAAATCACTCCTTTGTTCCTGGGTGTTATCCCTACCCTATACCCGAACAATTTTCCCAGTTAATTCACTGTATTTTTCCATCACATCCTCCCAGCCAGCCTTTTAATGCACGCACGTTTCTATATTTGATCATGCAAATTTTGCAGCCTTTAGTTTTCTGTTGCTTGGTCATACAGACAGTCACTTATCTACATAGCTGCAATTTTCTGAATTGAATGCTGTGTGCTCAGAGACATGTCAGCTGTGTGCTGTATCCAACATGTCACCTTATCATTTAATGCCTGTTCTCTTAAATACCCACAGTTCATTGCACACCTACCTGGTATTAAAAGTCTTAAATTAGAGGATATGCAGTACTGATCCTTTGTTAAAATCTATGCAATATAGATTATATATAGATTAAAATCTATGCAATATTTTATCAAATAATGTTCAGCTGTAAACTAAGGCATGTAATCTAAGTTTGTACTTGAGACACACCGTTGGAATGGCAAGTATCATACCGTGCTAAATTGTAACTAGGGATTGGACAGAATTTAGAAAAGAAAAAGGTAAAATAATTCTAGTGTATCAAAAGCAACAGAATGTATCAAGACAAATAAATGTGATGAAAACATATAGTTCCTACTAAAACGTATAGAGATTAATGCTGCCTCAATCTTTGAAAAAGCAACAACATCTTTTGGTCTAATAACACCAAAAAAGGCTAAAAAAAACTTGAAAGGCAAGATGTTCTTGAAGGTTATAATTTTAATGAAATGTGTTTTTTGATGTCTGGCTATATTGTCCATTATTCCGTGACACTGTATTCCTGTCAACTACAAATATTGGTCCAACCAAGATAGCAACTACCAGAACATCATATTGTTGAAAATGTTGATCATATAAGGAATTGCCACTCTGTCTTAAGACCTTACAGGCTATATCCAATAGATGTTTCCTAAGCAGCATCTTTGTAACAAAAATATTTTGTGAGTGTGTCTAATTTTATTATTCTAAAATATTAAATTGATTTTACATTAATTGTGTGTCTTACAGTGTTGGAATATTGCAATGATTCTGATGATTGAAAAAGTTATAGATTACTTGTTAAAGGGACAAGCCTTCTATAAAACAAACCTTTCAGATTATTGTACTGGTTATGCTGTTAGATGGCTGAGTGAAGTCTTACTATTTTAATAAAACAGTTTTCTAGCAGCATGACAAAAATGGGAAGAAGCCCAGACACGCTACACACACACCCTCTGATGAGAACGTCATAATGAGGATGTTTATTTATACACTGTGCATACACCATATTTGTATATGTGGTATGGTGACCTCACGTGGTGCCAAATGGTGATTTCACACGATCCTTTATGATGAGCACTAGGATATAGGAAGATATGCTGCATAAATCACATGTAACCCTTTCAGCACCTCTGAATTGACACAGGGAGGAATTATGGTGCTTACAGTGTGTTAAATCTTAAACATAGGACTGATCAGTGCTACAAATTGTAAAGATATATACCTTAGACATTTTTAGTTCTTGTATTCCCAGCTTGTAAAGCTGCATGGATGCTACAAATGGATTAGTGGCTCCTAATTACCCTATATACACATGAACAAACTAATTATTACTCTTGCAGTATTTCTAGTGATCTCATCAAGTGAGGCCTTCCTGTGTTTATGTGCTACATACATTGATAGATAATGAGCAAAACTGTTAAAATAAAAAATAATTTAAAAAAAATACAATAGACTGTATTTTTACTGGATATCTGTCTCTGTCTGTTTGACTATATATATATGTATATATATATATATATATATATATATATATATATATATATATATAATCAGACAGAGACATATATATAATCTGTCCTAATGTTTCTAATACCTCACCTCCTATAGTCTGTAAACTCGTTTGAGCAGGGTCCTCTTCAACCTATTGTTCCTGTAAGTTTTCTTGTAATTGTCCTATTTATTGTTACATCCCCCCCTCTCAAAATATTGTAAAGCGCTACGGAATCTGTTGGCGCTATATAAATGGCAATAATAATAATAATATAGTCAAACAGACAGAGACAGATATCTGGTCAAATAGACAGAGACAGATATCCTCTGTGTGTGTGTGTGTATGTATGTATATGTATATATGTATATATATATATAGAGAGAGAGAGAGAGAGAGAGAGAGAGACAAACAGACAGAGACAGACCAGGGTTTTGGAATATTGCAATGCTTCTAATGACTGAAAAAGTTACAGATTACATGTTAAAGGGACAATCTGTACAGAACAAACCCTACAGTTTATTGTAGTGGTTATACAGCTAGATGGCTGAGTGAAGTGCCACTGTTTTGATAAAACTGTTTTCCAGCAATACGACAAAAAGCTGTTTTTAAGTAGTAGGACAAAGAATAGGAGGAAGCCCTGTCACCCTAAGCATACCCCTTATGATGAAAACATCATAATATTGTTATAGTTAAGACTACACTATATTTGGATATGTAGTATGGGGAGCACACATAGTGTGCTATGGTAAGCTCTGATAATGGGACACGGTGAGTTTACACAGTCTGATATGGCGAGTATTAGGATGATCACTTGGAAACGTTTCAAATAGTATTGAATCATTTGGAAAGCTTGTTAAATCAAGAATGTTATCAGTGAAAATTCTGAGTTAAGTGAATAACCCTGAGGTGCGTGCATGTAGAAATGTCTGGTTAAACACAATAATTAACAATAAAAAAAACAAAGCAAGGCTTAGAAATCTTTGCATACTGTGCTATAGCTCAGTCCGGGTAAAAAGGCAAGACATTTTGTTTATTTTATTTCTTCTTAGTTATTGGTTTTACAAAGACAAACTGACACACATTCCTAATGATCAATTACAGTGTAACAATAGACACCATAACACATCAAAGTAAGAAGGAAAATGAAAGTGAGAAAGAGAGAGAGTAAAGGTGGTGTTAAGGTAGGATGTTCAGCCCCTCTGCTACTCCATTTATCAAATCGTTTGTACAACATTCTTGTGGTTCTGGAGAAGGAATCTTCAAGGTGTTCTAAGCGCTAATTTCATAATATATTTGGAGATGTTATTCTAAAAAAAGCAAATTGTGGATCTGTTAGTTTCAAGTGGCACACTAATAAGACTGAAACATGGTTGCCAATAACTTGGATTGTTGGGCACAGCCCATACAGGAAAATAAAATAACAGGAAAACAAATCACAATTTCACGTGCAGCTGCAAAGGTGAGTCTTGTTTGGTCACTTCATAGTTCACTGAAATCGTTCACTGCAGGAGAGATCTGAAAATTAGCAGTTTGCTATCTTTTCAGAGACACATAAGGCAACTAACAAAGTTCCAGAGAGTCCAAACAGTAAGTTTCTGAATAATCACAAAATCAAAATTATTTAATATTTCATGTTTAATAGTAGGACAATAACAACAGCATGTGGCACGCATTGGCTAACAGCACTAACGTAGGTGAGCAACAAGCACACATCTACTCCACTCACTGAACGTGAAAGATAAATACTTCAAAGGATAATTGCTAAATTCCACAAATGTAAAGCCTGAAACATTGACACCAAAATATAATCTGCACCTTTGTGACAAGAACAGCTGTGCATAGTGAGCGTCATTACGTTGGAATCTGTGGCATAACTGCCATTCTGAATCCTTCTGTAATCAAGGCTGACAGTTTAATAGACATAACATGGGTTAAAGACCAAAACCTGGATGCTGAGTAATTTAAACAAATATAATATAGGTTAATGAGTTCTGCTATACACTGCTTTCTTCATCTAGATCATCTAGATTGGTTCAAGTTTGGAGAAAGTTAAATAACCACTTTACATTATTACAATACCTAGAAACCTATGAGTATCAGTATACCCAATGATAACTCTGCATGGTTACATAAGTATAAGATAACTTAACAAAAACAGATACACCTTATTCAGGGCCAGATTAAGAGCCCAGTGGGCCTGGTGCTGACATTTATGAGGGAGCCTAAGTACAGGATCTTATCGACCAAAAACACTAAAACAGTCATACCATCAAGCGTTATGTACCTGGTGGAGATGTTGCCGCAGGGAAACTCATAGGATGCAGCTATAAGAAAACTCAGATTCTTTTAAAATATGCTAATCTCTCTCTCTCTCTAATTCATGCTTTCATCTATCAAGTAAATCCATACCCCCTAACAGCAGTGTCCAGCGAAGCAGGAAGTCAATCTGCGATGTAAAAGGGTGGGCCACTGACGCGGATCATGTAACCAGAACTTCCAAAAGGGGCGAACATGCCCAAAAAGGATGTATGTCTGCACAAAGAATGGGAAGGCTAGCCTGGCATGAATGCATGTCAGGCTGCCTGCCAATCATGCATGCTGGCCAAAAGCATCCTGAGCTTGGCATAAATGCGACTAATGATGCGCTCGCTCCATGCTTTATAAGGACTGTCCCCTAGCACTCAAATGTCAACATGTCTCCTTACCTTCTTACTAGCAGGCAGAAGCTCCTGGTATACAGTCTGAGACAGAGAAAAGGTGGATGTAGTGAGTGTAGAAGAAAGGGAACATGCCACAGTGTTAGAGAGACCAAAGTCAGCATTACCTTAACTAATTTAATTTTTGATCTAGTCCACACAAGTTTTGTTTCCAAATATCCCAAATATTAAGTTTCCATACTTAAGCAAGAGTATGTGAAGAGTAGTTAGGGTTGTCACCAATCTTGGAAAAAAAAATACATGCCTTGCTAATTTGCATAACTAATTATGTATGTGTGACATCACACGATGTAAATCACAAGGAGTGACATAAGAGAAAAGTCTGTGAAATCACCAAAAACAACTTACAGTTTGATTCTGCTGTATAGATGGATTGCTCCCAATGACTCCCTGTCTCCCAGTGTATGTCTCCCAATGTCCCTATGGGTTGTCAAACTACTTCTACAATAAATTCAGACCTACGCTAACCCCACACATCACCACACCCTTCAACCACGCCAAACAAACAGGAATCATTCCTAAAGAAATGCTGGAAGCATTTACAGTCGCGCTTCCCAAACCGAACAAACCCTCGACCATCAGTGCCAACCTAAGGCCTATTTCCTTATTCAACGCCGACATTAAGTTATATGCCAAGCTACTAGCTAATAGGATCAAACCACTCTTTCCCACTCTAATATCTGACGAACAAGCAGGCTTTGTACTAGGCAAACAGGTAGGCGACAACACTAGGCACTTCATCAACCTTATAGAATGCCAAGGGGGAATTATGCTAGCGCTGGACACTGAAAAAATGTTCGATTAAATTAGCGGTACATGCAATTGACACTCAACAAAATGGGCATTCCCCTATCGTTCATAACCAGCATTCTGGCCCTCTATCAGAGCCCATCGCCAAAAGTATTTAGCAAAGGCTTCCTCTCATCCCTGCTGGCCATTCGCAACGGTACCCGAGAGGGCTGCCCCCTCTCCCCACTCATATTCATTCTCTGCCTAGAGCCTTAAATACAGCACATAAAACAAGATACACATATCCAGGGTATATCCATGCCAAATGGCGAACAAAAGCTGACATTTTTTGCCGATGATATTCTTCTGTTTATAACCAATCCGACACAGTCCCTTCCGCAGTTACTTGACCTACTAGCTAAATAGTCTCCTACTTGAGGATAAAATCACAAGAGAATCATATTCCTTTGCTCCACAAACTCAAAACCCAAATGACAACATGGGAAGAACTAGAGGTGTCATGGCTAGGACGCATAACCTCTATAAAAGTGATGATACTACCGCATATATTGTACCTGGTTAGAACCATTCCTATAGAGCTGCCGACCCACCTCATCAAGAGATTCCAATTGGTCATAAATGCCCATGTATGGAAAAGGACCCCCCCACCCCCAAACTATCGAACAAAAGTATGGGCCTCCACCACAGACTGGGTGGTCTAGGTCTGCCGGACATTCGGTTCTACTACCGGGCATCCTTGCTGGCACAGGGAATGAGACTGCTAAGAGCATCCACTGGAGAACCGACCCCTATCTGGCTTACCTTTGAGAATGCTTGTCTAAACCCGATACACATAATCCATGCTCTGTGGGTGGGCGCCCTGACTCCCCCAAACAGTGTAGGTGACCTCTATAGTATGGACACTTTGAAAACATTCCCGACCCTGCAAGAGGAATTCTCCCTCCCTTTTAGGGACTTTTTTCTTTATCTGAGGGTCAAGAACATCATACAGGCCAATAGTCAAGGCGAAGGGACAGCATTACTCCCCAGGGTCTACTCCCCACAGCACTTACTGACCTACTTACTGACTTACTGACCCGCACCGTAAAATGCCTTGTGGGATACTATTACCTCACACAAACTTCCATACACGGCACAGTGGGAAAGGGATATTGGAAGGGAATTTACTTTACACCAGGAAAGCATTCAGAAGCCTCTGGGAGGCATTTAGCAAAATTACGATGCGCTGGTACCTGGTGCCTCACAGACTAGCTAGGATATATGACACAGTCTCCCATTTCTGCTGGAGGTGCGGGAGCGCACAAGGTACGATGTCACATATATTCTGGAAATGTCCTAGAATTAAGCCCCTCTGGACATGTTTACAGGATGTCAGCCACACGACTACCAACATTTCCCTTCCACTAACACCTGAGGGGTACCTTCTACATATATTTCCCACTCTGCGCTATAACCCATGTGCCTCACTGATTATTAATCTCCTAATGGTCACTAAAATAGCCATATCCTCCCATTGGAAAAGCACGGTGATCCCTTCCCTGGACGAGATTTCAAAGCGATTAGATAATGTCTGCTTATGCGAAGAAATGGCCCTCAGGATGAGAGAAAAAGTGCAGCAGAATGAGAAATTGTGGAATAGCTGGCTAAAGCACCGTGAGGCAAACATGATACCCCATGTCAGTAGACATGGAATAACTGGTCTGAATAGTAGAGAGCACATACACCCTATTGGACACCAACAAGCACGGCAGGAACCCTAGTCCGCTTCTTTTCTTTTTTCCTTTATTTCAATCCCTTGTTACCAAGTTCTATGTTGCATACCTTTTCTTTTATGTGCCATCATACGTGACAGGCAAATGTGAAAATGAACTAAAGCCAACAGCAGAGTGTTTATTCATATGAGTCATTGATGTTACATAGGGGCCAAGAGCCAATCCGGGGATAGACTTTTGTGATCACCTCATTCTCTACTCCTATAATTTTGTGGTATTTGTGTGCTGAATGGCCCAGTTTTGACAAATAGACACCCACCCCCCACATTAGATAGATGGCAGTAAACAGTTGAGCAAAAGTGTGAGTGAATGTTCTTGGATGAGAGAATATTCATCCGGCACTAGACCCTCCATAGACTGCTGTACACTGTGGGATGATCCTTGATCTATGTACCAGGCCGCATCAGGGCCTAGCCGACACCCATACCCACCGTCTGCCTAGACACAGGCCACTTGAGTTTTAATTTAGATTTTATAGTGCTATAGGTAAAATTAGTGGATGTGTGTGAGGGCCAATTAATGTGTTGAATGGCCCATTTTAGACATAAAGGCATTCTCGCAGTTTGGTGAGCGAACGTGTGAGTAAATGTCGCTGGATGAGGGGTTCTTAGCTCCTCAGAGACCAATTCGTACTTATTTTTTATGTTGGGAATTCTTATATCAATACAAAAATAAAAATTGTAAAAAAAAAAAAGGCATATATAAGAGACTGCATTATCCTCGCGTAAACAGAAAAAGACAAAGTAGCTCTCAAAGTAAAAGATAATACAACATTTAGCCCAAAGAGTGCCTGTATCACTAAGGGGGGACATGATGCAGACAGTAGGAGGGGGTTTTTACACTGATGCAAACCAATGAAACCTAGATTATGACTACAGTGACAGCACTGGAGAAGAGTGAATATTTCATTAACCTCTTCTAGAGCAAAACAAATATATTGTTTAAAAAAGTGGTTCCCAAACTGTGTGCCACGGTTCCCAAACTTACGTGCACACGGGGGTAACGCGGAATGTTTCCCTGATGCTATGATTATAGCACCGGGGAAACATTACTGCTCAACAGGGACCTGGTCAAGTGCCCCTGTAATGTCAGACGGCTGGGAGGAAGTGGCAGCCTGTCACTTCCTTCCATCATCATTCAGAAAGAAGGCGCAGGAGAGAGAGGAGGCACTTGTAGCATGAGGAGAGAGGAGCATGAAGAGCTCCAGATCCATCCACTCCTCCCAGCAGGACCAGGACTCCAAGCCACCCTCCTGGATACACAAGGTCAGCTAACAAGAGGGTGGCTGGAGATATAAAAAAAAAATCACTTGTGTGTGAGTGTTTGTATGAGTTTGAGTTTGAGTATGTGTGTAAGTGTGTGTATTGTTGTAAGTGTGTATTTTAGTGTGAGTATGAGTGTATGTATGTGTGTGCATGTGTATGAGTGTATGTTTATGAATGTGAGTGTATGTATGAGTGTAAGTATGTGTACAATTGTGTGTTTGTGTTTGAGTGTGTGTGGGTATGAGTGTTTGTATGTGTGTGAGTGTATGTATGAGTGTGTGTGTATGTGTATGAGTGTATGTGTGTGAGTATGAGTGTGTGTGTGTCAGGGTGTGTGTGAGTTTGTGTGTAAATATATGTCAGTGTGCTTCTGTGACTGTGTGTGCGCACACATCTGTGTATGTGCCTCTGTGTGTCAGGGTGTATGTTTTTATGTCAGTGTGTGTATCTGTGACATGGTGTGGGCATGTATCAATGTGTGTGTGTGTGTGTCAGGGTGCATGTGTGTATGTTGGTGTGTATGTGTCGGGCGTATCTAATTTTGTGTGTATGTGTCGGTGTATTTATATGCACCTCTGTGTTAATGTGCATGAATATCTGTGTAAGTAAGTATGTATGTGGTAGTGTATGTGCATATATCCAATCAGTCAAACACCAGCACAACATACAAGCACATTCCTGCAATCTAACACAAATATCACATACAAACAGACCCCTGCATTAAAACTAAAAAAAATATATACAAACACATCCCTTCACTCAAACACAAATACTTCACACAAATGTACATCGACATTTAAAAGTGAACATTACATTCAGACACACCCCTGCAATCAAATGCAAACATTACATACAAACGCACCCCTGTATTAAAACACAATAAATTTATACAAGCATCGCTTCAAACACCAACACTGTACATTACACTAGAGCACTAATAAATGCGGCAACGCTGTACAGATGTACAACCTAGAAATTTGACTTGGGGTGCCTTGGAAAAATACTGAAATTTTAAACCTTGAAAAAAACATGAGAGCAGAAATATCTGAATGTAAAAATTTGGATGCAGATCATTATCTTTTTATATGTAGTTAGCACCTTTTGGGGGCTATTTTTATCAGATGCTGACGTGCTCTGAATTGTGAATGCAATCTGAGGCTAATCTCTGCATTTGGCCTGAACTATGTTTAGTGAGTACTGTGATTTTGGGTTAGATATTGGGTTCAGTTTACTTGAGCTTTGCAATTCAGAGGCCAATACAGAGCTTAATGAATAACCATGGAGGAATTGAGCATTTTTTAATTAAAGTAAATAATTATTACAACTGCCAGCCAGCTGCTACCCTATACCTCAGTAATATGCATAGTTACATAGCTGAGAAGAGACGTGTCCATCAAGTTCAGCCTTTTTCACATTTGTTTTTGCTGTTGATCCAAAAGAAGGCAAAAACCCAGTCAGAAGCTCTTACAAACTAGGAACAAATTGCTTCTTGAGTCTAGAATGGCATTCAGATATCTCTTTGGATCAAGGAGCTACTCCACTAATTAAAAAAATATCCCTGCACATTATGTTTTTGCAAGTATTTATCCAATTGCTGTTTAAACATCTGTATAGACTCTGATAAAACCACCTCTTCAGGCTGAGAATTCACATCCTTATTGTTCATACTGTAAAAAAAAACTTTTTTTTCTTCCAGTCTAAATGCATGACCTTGTGTCCTGTGTATAGTCATTTGTGAATAGATTTCCAGACAATGGTTTGTATTGGCCCCAAATACATTTGTATAATGCCATCATACTTGGACATACGTTACTAATTGGATTCTCTCTACTCTGTATCAAACGCTGTTTAGTAGGCAGAATAAACCCTTGCTCTCCTAAGAGAATCCAATCCTTAATGTGGATTGTAATAATTAATATGCCTGTGTAGTCAGTGGTCAATAAAAAGGCATCCTTGTTAGTTCAAATATTTAACATATGACTGCAACTTATTATATAAATGATTAAGAGGTCTTACTGTTATACAAGCATTAAAATGGTAAATACAAGAGATCAACTCTTGTTATTGTAATGATTGTTAGTGTCAGACCCAGTTGTTCCAGTAACATTGGACCAGCTGATTTACTGGGATTTCAAACACCACAGGCTATGGAGTTTACTGGGAATAGTGTGAAGAAAAAAACAAAAAAACCATCAAGTGAGCAAAAATTCTCACAGCGGAAACAACAGACTCAGTCAAGGTGACATAGAGATCACATATATACAACCACTCTTTGTAATATTGATGTCCAGAAGGGCGTCTCTTAAAAACATAGCTCTTTGGAACTTAAATGGGAACCATCACTTTTTGGAAATTGATATCGTAAAATAAAACATTGAAAATGACCTATAATAGAATTTATTTGGGCTAAACGGAGTATAGAATACTTAGGTCTCGAAGTGGTGAGAGAGGTCCAGAGGACTATGGAGCTGAACTTTTTAAGGCTCTTGAGACAGACTAATAAAATATGAAAAGGATGGAAAAAGCACGAAATATCATGGTGGGGAAGAGGAAATACTATCGGAAAACTATATTCTGCCGAAATGGTCTTACCTTTTCCAGATGATCCCTTTAAAGGTAACATCTATATGGACAACAATGATCCAGAGAAGTTTAGGTGGTTTCGTATGGAAAGGCAGACGCCCGAGAATAAGTAGAAACAGCATAGCAATGAAAACTAAAAAAGGCGGAATTAATATGCCTTTAATAGAAGATCTGTATAAAGCTAATATCTTAACACACACACACACACACACACACACACATATATATATATATATATATATATATATATATATAGATCTCAATTACAAAATAAAAAGAAAGAATTCTGGTATCAAGTTGAATGCGATATGACTAGTATAAATAATTGGGAAACAGCTATATGGAACATTAAAGATCCTAACAACCTAAAACAGAGTTATTGTAATTAATCTAATGGAAGAGTGGGAAAGCTTAAAGAAAAAGCTGAGGCCAGAAAAAAATATTTAAATAGAAAATATTACGCTAAGAAATTGGATAAACCAACTTATGGATGGTATTAATATCAAATCATTCCCCTGCCTGCAAACAGAATTTTCTCTCCCAAATAATGAATTCTCTCTAGATCTCTATAAAATGAATCTCACAGCAGAGTATTCTTCTAGGATATCTAGCCTATTAAGCGGAGATATCATAAATAGACCCCTGTCAAGATCAATGGAATATGTGTCATCTATGTCTCCCTTAGATATATCGGTAATTACCAGATGGGGAAAAATACTGGGCCATCAAATTGATACAACTGAATGGGTGAAGGGTTTCCATATGGTAACAAAAAATATACATTGTTTAAACTATGTGGAGACCCATGTTAAGGTTATATATATATAAGTTATATAAGATATCAGCCATAAACCCAAATGTGTGTTGGAGATGCAATCAACATGAGGGCTCATATATCCATATATGGTGGTACTGCCCAAAGATTCTCAGAGTGTGGAATAGAGTGTTTGAATGTCTTGCACAAATGGATGTCTCTAGACTTATAAGGTCACCTACAGTTTTTTTTGTTACCCACTGTTTTGTATCAGTTAAAATTACGATGGCACGTAGGTGGAGACAATTAGAACCTCCTACCTGGAGTGAGATCAAAAAACAAATAAACCAACAATTGGTAATGGAGCGAAGCCTCACTTATTTAAATAAATAAGACATAAATAATGTCTCTTATAAAAAGAAAAAAAAAGAAAATGACCTATAATTTGTATTAGCATTTTCTTTAGTGGAATAGTCTATTTAATTTTAAATGTTTATTGAAGATTTACCAATAGACAGAACAATCTAGTTCAGTCCAGACATAGCCAAGTCACAGACTGTTTCTGATCCTGTTTCTAATCTTCAACTTACTATGATCTCTTCTGGTTGATGATGTTTTTCCATTAAATATGTTTTATTGTCTTTATACACAAAAGCAATGAAAAAATAATACATGGACATTGAAAAGTCCCAAACCAGCTGTCATGATTTTGAGCAGGTCAGATAGGAGACTTTGGCCAGGGTTGTTATTTGAAACTTTATTGGTGCTTTTAGACATACTTGAGAAAAAACAGAATTAAGGCAATATGCCACAAAACAGGATACTTGTAAATAATAAAGAAAGTATGTGATCTCCAGGTAGGTTTGAAACAAAGGCAGGTTGGTATTAAAGGCAGGCTGGTTACAGAGGCAGGCTGGTAACAGTGGAAGGCTGATAACAGAGGCAGGCTTGTAACACAGGAAGGCTGGTAACAGAGGCAGAGGTCAAAATCATACGTATAAGAGTGGAGCAGGTTTGAAGGTAAGTCTGGAGCAGGTTGGTATGGGGCAGGGTTGAAGGTACGTCTGGAGCAGGTTGGTATGGAGCAGGGTTGAAGGTAAGTCTGGAGCAGGTTGGTATGGAGCAGGGTTGAGGGCAGTTCCAGATTAACATAGGGGCTGATGGAGCTGCAGCTCCAGGCCCAGGCCCAGGCCCATGGAAAAGGCCCATTGATTAAAAAAAACAAAAAAAACACTTTTTTTTTTTTTTACACACTACTCTTAGGGTTGCCAGAATCCCCTTGTCTCACACATGTCATGTGCCCTTGAGGGGTTAATCGATGCATATGTTAGCACATTGTAGAAGAGATATATAATGGGTATTTATTGCTTGTATCTCTATTGGTATGTTGGGACCAACCATTTCTTACTTGCTATCCCTATGTGCCATTGAGACCTGCCGCTAGGCCATTCAGCCCACATTTCTGCTGACACTGACACTAACAATCATTACAATAATAAAAGTTGATCACTTGTATTTCCCATTTTAATGCTTGTATAACCTCTTCACTGTGTCTGCATTCTTAATATAATGAGTTGCAGTCATATGTTAAATAATATTTAAACTAACAAGTATGCCTTCATAGTGACCACTGACTACACAAGCATATTAGTTATGCCTTGTACAGTGCTACAGCATTTGCTGGTGCTCTATAAATAATAAAATAATAATACGGTAATTATAAAACACATTGCGGGTTGGATTCTCTTAGGAGAATAAGAGTTTACTCTGCCTACTAAACCTCAATTTTCCTGTAGACTTTAGTGGAGTAATTGCTATTCAGTACACAGAGTACAGAAAATCTAATTCATAACGTATGTCTAAGTATGATAGCATCATACAAATATTTTCGGGGCCAATACAAACTATTGTCTGGAAATCTTTTCAGAGACAGGACTGTGCATAGGACACAAAGTCACACATTCAGACTGGAAGAATGGAGATTTTTTCTAAAGAAAAGGAATGATTTTTTTTACAGTCAGAACAATGAGGATGTGGAATTCTCGGCATGAATAGCTGGTTTTATCAGAGTCTATACAGATGTTTAAGCAGGAATTGGATAAATATTTGCTAAAACATAATATACAGGGATATCAGTTTTAATTGGTGGGGTAGCTTTTTGATCCAAGGAGATATCTGACTGCCATTCTGGGTTCAAAAAGGATTTCTTTCCTAGTTTGGAAGTGCTTCAGACTGGGTTTTTTGACTTCTTTTGGATCAACAGGAAAAATAAGTCTGAGAAAGGCTGAACATGATGAACATGATGCATATTACTGAGGTTTAGGGGGGAAAAGTCTCAATTCTTACATGCTGTATTGTAAAGCTCATATAAAACAACCCCAATATCTATTTTATCAATTATTTTCATGAAAGCAGAGATAATCAATGACCTGTAGAAAAATGCCCTATTTTTGGAATCAAATAGAACAATTTTCCCATAAAATATTTAGCAATGATTTAGATATAACGTAGGCAAGGTAGGTGATAATTAGGTGATACATATATATATATGTGAAAGGCATATGCCTGAAATTGTGGGAGGGATTATTGGTACTATTTAAACCCAGTAGCCCCTGCTTACCTGTTGTTGACGATTTCGGATGTTCCACTGTTCTACTTCCGGTTCACAGGACCCTGACGTAATTTTCCCGCCCGCCGGCAGTCCGTACGAACGACTAGCCCAATTGCTTTTGTGCAGTTTCATGAGTATTGAGAGAAAACGAACACAGCCAAATACGAACAGGCTAACTGTAAGTAGTTTCGGTTATATAAATGCACTTAATATCGTTTCATTAGTCGCATTCATTGCGTTTCAAATTTTGTGTGTTTTCCCCGTTCGGTCAAATAATGTTTCAGTCTGCTTCATTCATGTCCTACGGTAAAATTTTTCATTTGAATGAGAAACAGACAAACGGCATGTCGTGGGTCTCATGTACTGATATACAAACACTTTACAAAAATGTAGGCTATTGCGTTCGCGCCAAAAATCACAATACCAATTCGTATAAAGGCTCTGTTCGAGTAAATCCTTTCTATCCATTCCCTAAGAGTGAAATTCGTTTCTGTTTCACACATTACAGTATAAGCAATTCTGTTTGACTATTTTAGGTGAATGTTATGTGGTAGAATTTTGCTGGCTACACTTAAGGTCTGTTAAACTAGTCATAAGTTCATTCCCAATAGAGGGTTACGTTTTCTCCTTCCTATTATCAGCCGGCTTAGTCTGTCATTTCAATATGTTCGCATAGTTAATTCATGTACATTTTATCGCTTTCACAATATGTAACTGTTGCATATATTCTGTTCTCATTCTCTTAAATGGATTAAGTTTTTATTTTCTTTTATTATTATTATTTGTTCGGTTAGACATCTTTTTTTAATAAATTAAGAAATAATTAAGTCAGCTCTAATTATGCTGGTTCTAGTTAAATAGATTAAAGTTTATTTTTCTTCTTCCCTCCAAAATACTACAATTACAGATATTGGTTTGCCGTGATCCAGTCATTAAAACTAACAGAAATTATTTAAAGAGGGAGGCCTCTAGATTGCTATCCCACTATCCCTCCTTTTTTTTCTCTCTCTATCCTCCTTACACTAATTTTATCTGTTATAACCAGGACTATTAATAAGACAAGTTCCGGTTTGTTTCCCTCTATAAATAGTTTAAAGTTATCACGTTTCCAAGGACAAGTCCAAGCTCCCCCAAGTCAACCTAAATAGCGAAAGTCGGCTACTATTTAGTTTCTCTTTTCCAGTTATTATTCAGCTAACCCACTACCCGCTAAAAGTACTAATATTATTAATCCAGTACAGCTCATTCCACAAAACCTTAAATGTTACATATTAGAAGGCAAAGATATTAATCTGGCTTCCCTCCTCATAGCATCGCAAGACATAATTGAAAACAGGTCATACACATTTGATGATTAATCTGTGGTAATGAAGTCTAGAGACCCTAGATTTAACAGGAAGTTAAATATTCCAGAGTTTGTCCTAACCTTCGGATTATATAGGGACATTATTTGCTCTGCTTTTCCCAACCGTAGAGAGGAATTAGATTTATACCTACACAAGCTTATAGACTTAGCTTATAAATACGGAGGCTACGCATTCTCCGATTACCACAAGTCCTTCTCAGCAAGATCTGCTTCGTTGCTGGCCCGATTCAATACTCCTACTGACTGGGGCCAGTTAGACATAGAGTTGTTTTGCAGACATTTTGCGGGTCTTAAAACACCAGCTTGTGCAATATGTTGCTCAGCTTTCCATTCCAATAACATGGCGATACCTTCCACTAGCAATGCCAACCCAGAGTTTCAAACCAATATGGCTCAAATGGAAAGAGAATTGAAAGATAAATTAGGCAGGCCTATCATTTTTCTCTGGAAAGCTCAAGTGTGTAATAATTTTAATGCAGGGGGATGTAGTTACTGTGCTTGCAGACTTCTTCACGGGTGCTCACTTTGTTTCAGAGCACATGCCAAAACAATGTGTCCGAACAAATTGTTCCCTAAAAAATCATTAACCCCAATAAAGATACCCAATTTGCAACGTTACCTGACTGATTATCCATCTTCAAATCTTGTAGACTTTCTCACCTCTGGCTTCTCCAACGGGTTTCACACTGGCTTTGTTGCACTCCCCACAGGTATTGTAGAATGCCCCAACCTCCATTCCACACTCACAGACCCAATTAGTCTGCAGGAACTCCTCAATAAAGAAACTGAGAATGGTTTCATGATAGGTCCTTTCAATACCCCACCATTCACCTCTTGGAGAACGAACCCTCTAGGCATAGCTACAGAGAAATTTAACAATAAAAAGAGACTCATCATTGATTTCTCAGCACCTCACTCTTCTACTACCCCTAGTTTAAATGCACTAATACCATCGGAGGATTTCTTGTTACAATATGCAAAAATAGACGATACCATACAAGCTATTATTAACTCCGGCAAGGCAGCTTGGTTAAGCAAAACAGACATAACAAATGCTTTTAAATTATTACCAATTCATCAATCACTCTGGCATCTGCATGGCGTTAAGTGGGAGAATAAATATTATTTTGCGACTAGACTGACTTTTGGCTCCAAAAGCAGCCCAAAAATCTTCGATATTTTCGTAGAAACCCTGACCTGGCTCTTACTTAACAAAAGCAGATGTCCAGTAGTGATTCACTATCTTGACGATTTTCTCTCCATTGAACCACACTACTACATACCACGCAGTCTACAACACATACTTTCATTATTTGAAGATCTGAGAGTTCCGGTTGCCTCAGACAAAATAGAAGGTCCCAGCACTGAAATAACATACCTGGGTATCACGCTAAATTCGGTATCCATGCAAGCTAGCCTGCCTCGGGAAAAGGTAGACAGGATTTTAACATATATTGAAATCTGCACCACTCATGGTTCTTGCACCAGCAAAGAATTACAATCACTTCTAGGTTCACTCAACTTCGCTATGAGGTTTATTCCTCAAGGAAGGCCTTTCATCTCTAGAATACTCTCTCTTCTACACGGTCTCCTTGACGACGACTCTAGAACTAGTCTAGACGAACCAGCTAGGGCCGACCTAAGAATTTGGCATCTTTTTATCCTCTTGGAATGGCAGGTCCCCTTATTCGTTTCCCCCATCTCTGACGATTCCACTGTAATATGAGCTGACACAGCAGAAGCCATAGGTTATGCTGCTATTTTTGGCAATGACTGGGTATATGATACTTGGCCACCAAAAACCTCCTCCTTAGAGAATTTTAACAAGACCTCAGCACTGTTTGAAATCTACCCAATAGTAGTTGCAGCACACATATGGGGCAAGGAATGGAAATGTAAAACAGTTGGGTACTTTTCAGACAACTTAGCGGCATGTAACATTATTAACAAAGGTCGATCTCAATCCCTTACGATAATGAATCTAGTAAGTAAACTTACCTGCTTAGCTGCAAATGTACAGTTCTGTGTATGTTGTATCCACGTACCTGGCATTCTGAACAACACAGCTGACGCTCTGTCATGTTCTAATTTACAGGTGTTTTTCAGAATACATCCTGCAGCGAATGTTCAGCCCAAATAACCTTCTCAGTTCACAGACCTAATTATTCTTTGAATACGCTGTTAAAACACAGTAGGTCACTCGCACAAGTTGGTTTGTCAATCAATACTAAAAAAGTTTACGCCAGAGCATATGATCTGTTTAAAAAGTTTGTGCGTGACTATAATATAATAAATGTTTTTTTCATAGAAACCATGGTTGCATTCACAACTTTTAGCCACAGCTCTTTGAGACTGGCATACAATACAATTAAACTTTACTTAACAGGCATACAACATTACATGTTAACTATATACCAAAACAAAACTCCAATCTTATCATCATATCAGGTCAAAAGTATCCTGAGAGGTATTCAGAGACTAAAACATCAGAATCCCCTTAAAAGACTTTCCATAGACAGTAACATATTTAGGAAGATCTCTGAATTATTAGATAGCAACCCTTTCGACAATCTCACTAACACGGTAATCAAGTCAGCAGCCTATTTGGCATTTTACGGTTTCTTGAGACCCAAAGAATTGTCGGTGGAGAAAGCTTCTGACTTTAAGTCATGCCTTAAGCAAAAACACTTAGCAAAAGTGAATGACCATTATATCCTGTCAATCCCTCATACCAAGTATCATACCCTCATACCCCAGTAGAAATTAAGTATTATCCTACCTTTTCCACATGGTGTCCAATACTAGTACTAGATAACTTAATTAAGAATCAGCTCACAACAAACCCTGATTACGCACTATTATCCCTTCAAGGGAAACCTCTTACCACCAAACAATTCACGCTATACATACGCACACTATTACTCAGGCTAGGCCACAATCCACTTTCCTTCTCCAGTCATTCATTCCATATTTGTGCAACCACTGCAGCATCCAGTAATCACATATCATTAAGAACATAGGGCGGTGGAAATCCTCTGCATTCAACAGGTACATTCCAAACCCAGAAAAGGAAATCAGACTTGCTTTCCATGAAATGTCTAAATAATGTTTTGCGAAATAAATAAAATCGTTTTCATAATTTTTGCCCTCTTTTTTCGGCACACCTCAACCGACTTTGTTCTTATCAAATTGCATTCAATTACAAACCATACGTTTCACTAATATCCCGTACACAAATATATATATATATGTTATGGTGGGGAAAAATTGTGATTGAAACCCCCTTCCACCTGAAGTCCGTGGATAATTAATACAATGTTAAACAAAAATCTGCACACTGGTCAAGCCATAAGACTTGCTTTTCCCACAGAAATCCCAAAACTGCAGCGATGTTACAACCGCAAAGGATTCTGGGTGGGCATATGCAAATTAGATTAGCAAAGAATCACATTTTTGCCTCATTCCATTTTAAACATGGATTCCTTTTAATCTGTGTTTGCTGTATACAACTGCTTGGAATACAATTTAGGAAAAGATGCAAAACCAGTGAACCACTCATGGACAGCTGTTTCGTTGTTAATGCAACTCATCAGCATGAGGTTGGTTACTGGTTTGCTTATTGAGTCTTGGTAGTGCTTGGGAAGCAAAATCCAAACTGGTTTGCTTATTGAGGATTGACTGGTGTGCAGATTTTTGTTTAACATTGTATTAACTATCCACAGACTTCAGGTGGAAGGGGTTTTCAATCACAATTTTTCCCCACCATAACCTATTTGGATTTTGCTTCCCAAGCAATTTGATTCTTTGTTAAACTAATTTGCATATGCTCACCCAGAATCCTTTGTGGTTGTAACATTGCTGCAGTTTTGGGATTTCTGTGGGAAAAGCAAGTCTTATTGCTTGACTGGTGTGCAGATTTTTGTTTAACATTGTATTAATTATATATATATATATATATATATATATACACATATAAGTAAACTGGTACAATATTAACAAGTAAAATTACAAAATGTACAAATTATAGTTGAATCTTTTTAATCCAAAGCTTAACAACTAAAAAAATATGTAAAACCGTTCATTCAATGTGGTCATAGAGCCACCACCAGGGATGCTAGAATGGCCCAAAAAATGCACTGTTCTTGGCTCATGCTGAAGGCTAATGAGAATATTCGTAATAGGATATTATAACGATCAAAATATTGAAGGGACAAAGTCATTACAAAGACACAGCTGCCACTGAGAAACCAAACTGCAACCATTTAAGGAACTATTTGAGAACAGAAAAATAGCAGGGAACACAAAACTTGAATGTATAAAAAAATATTGTGGATGGTATGTCAGATTCAGTAATTGCTTCAAGAGTAAAGCGCAAATACACAACAAGGAAAGAACAAATGCCGAAGAGTTCTAAGAAGAAAAAAGTAATTTTCTCCAAAGTACATTTTCTGCACAGATAAACCACAAACCTAAGTAGCATAATGGATTGTAAGAACAATTGTAATAATTTGTAATAATAAAAAAATTGTTCAATGCTAAGAAAATTAAAGGGCATGATAGGGTTTTTATAATCTATGACAGGGAAGCCCAAAAGGTAGATCCCCAGATGTTTCCATGATGCTTTGTCATTCTAAAGGCATGCACAGCGTCATGGTAATTGTAGTTCTACATCATCTGAGGATCTACCTTTTAGGCACCCCTGGTCTATGATTTTCAAAGGGGAAAGGGTTGTTCTAGATCCTAGTAACCAAAGGGCAGGCTAATTGAGCAGTTGTCCATTCTTACCTCTCTTGCTACTTATCTTTCTTTAGATTCCAGTAACATACCAATTTTGTACCTATTAGGACTTTCAGGACATTTGCTGATAAACTCACTGACACTGATGACCAAAGTAGGACAAAATATATCGCTAAAAAATTGTGATATCACAGAAGACCAGAAGGATCAAGGGCTCCTGGGAGATTCAGTGTTAAACTGTTAAAAAAAAGGTTGAGTCCATGCTGTGAGACAACATTAGGAGACTCTTGGCACCATACTACAGTGTGTTTTAGTAGTTGTGGTGCTTAGACTGCATCTTTAAAGGGACACTATAGTCACCAGAACAACAACAGCTTAACTTCAGGCATTTTCATGTAAACACTGCCCTTTCAGAGACACCTTAGATGGCCACTGGAGGGGCCTCCTGGCTCATGGCTCATGGTTCATTGATTCAGTGCATCTCTATGAGGAGGTCCTGATTGCCCAAAACGACATTTGGCCTCCCCCCGTGATGATTTGGGAAAGCATTGGATTGGCTAAAATTGGGGCAAAAACTCCGGTAAAATTGGGGCAAAAACAAAAGTGTTGCGCTCATAATTTTGTTCAGTGTAGTTTCTCATACATCATTTGTTTGAAAAGATATATCCTGCTTTGCTGCCTCTCACTTACATTTGAGCAAGGAGGGGATATGATCCTAAGTGGTTCAGTGGAAGATATTGGTGATCTGCACCCATGCTCCCTGTTGGTCCAGTGGGTGGAGCATGTGCTCTGCATCTGCATGTGATCTCCATCCAGAGTTCTGCATTGGTGAGGGTGTGCCATCAGTGATCTGCACCATTGAAGGTGTATACTCTAACGATACTTACACGGTCCTCGCGACAATCCAGAGCCTCCAGGCAGGCCATGGGTGAAAAACTAAATAACCACAGTAAATGGGCCAGAGGAGTTTAAATACTGTTATGTGTGATTTGATTGGTTGACATCAACCAATAAAGCCCAAAATTACATGATTCCCTGCCCTGTGCCTTTTTAAGATCATTCTCCGAATGCGAGCAGCGTTCTCATTGCTGGATTCTGGGGGCACAAATAGTTATTTTGTTTGGTGCACGTCCCTTTCAGAGACTCCGGATTGCCATGAGGACCCATTAAGTATCGTTACATAGACCACAAGCTCTCTCATTATGATGATGCTTTGCATGGCCTGTCAGAGGGATCTTTTCATCTCCATATAGGCTCCTTGATGCTGGTAATGCCACTCGTGGTGCCCCAGGCAGCTATCCAGTTTGACTTCCCCGCCAAGACAAAAGATGAGTTAAGGAGGGCTCTGGACACAAATTGTATTCTCAAAACACTGAATTCCCTCAGAAATCTTAATCAGCAAAATATTTGACCATTTTACTTTTGTTCCTTCTGTACAATAGGGCCATACATGCTCTTGCGGTTGGTATCCTATCAGAAGTATTTTAAAGTATTGGCTACAATATATTCTAAAATACTTTGCAACCACATAAAATATTTCTGTATTTAAAATATGAAATTAGAGAGCCGTTTAACAGTTAATGGTAAGATGGCACCGGGGAACTTTAGGCATCGTATCAGCTTCATTGTGCCAATCCTCTGCATTGTAAATTATTTAGCCGACAATTACTTACTTTACTGCCAAATGTAATATGGAAAGGAATAAATGCCATTCTTTTTCCTGAATTTAGAATGCCCTAGCTTCTTCTTCTTAAAACAGATTTCTGATCCTGAAAAACAAGTAGCGGAGAGAACAGACAAGAGCTCAATTAGCCTGCCCTTCGGTGGGTCACCGCTCAGATCTCAGGCTGGTTTTAGCTTATCTTGTGCCATTACAGAGAGAACATATCTGAAGCATATCAGTCTGGTCCCACCCATACGGGCAGTCCAGATCTGAAATGCCAGTAAGTTCCCTCTGCACGAGAGATACAGCATAGCATCCCCAGATGATCGTTTCAACATTGTAAGGTATCATCAGTGAAGTATAGCCAATATATGTGATATTGCAGAAGGTCTTGATGGTAAGGTATGATTTTTGCTGATGATACAAAATATGATCACAAAATGGCAAATGATTAAGGTAAGCTAGAAAAATGGTCAGAGTTGTGGCAACTGACATTTAATGTGGATAAGTGGAAGATGATGCATCTTGGATGTAAAAACCCAAGGGCAGAGTACAGAACATTTGATAGAGTCCTAACCTCAACATCTGAGGAAAAGGATTTAGGGGTTATTATTTCTGATGACTTAAAGGTAGGCAGACAATGTAATAGAGCAGCAGGAAATGCTAGCAGAATGCTTGGTTGGATAGGGAGAGGTATTAGCAGTAGAAAGAAGGAAGTGCTCATACCATTGTACAGAACACTAGTGAGACCTCACTTGGAGTATTGTACGCAGTACTGGAGACCGTATCTCCAGAAGGATATTGATACTTTAGAGAGAGTTCAGAGAAGGGCTACTAAACTGGTTCATGGATTGCAGGATAAAACTTACAAGGAAAGATTAAAGGAACTTAACCCCTTAATGCCGTTACGGCGTTCTATGCCGTCCCCATTATAATGAGCTTTAAAGCTAATGCGGGGGCATAGAACACCGTAACGGCTTTCTACCCCAGGAACTCCACGGTACTTACCTCTGTCGCAATCCTCTTCGGGAGGACTGTCTGATAGCCCAGGCAGCCCTCCCATGGCAAATCAGGCCCCCAGCGGCCATGTGATCGCTCTCAAAGAGCGATCACATGGCCCCCTGTAGCTGGCTGTTTATCTGCCAGCAGGGGGACTGTCAGGGCTGTCAGACAGTCCCCTTGCTGGTGGGAAGTATAAAAAAAATATTATTAAACATGCTAAAATAAATTAAATGTGTATATATACAAAAAAATAATATATATATATATATATATAGTATATATAATATATATACATCTTATATATATACGTAACGTCATATGTAGTGTATTTTAATGTTAATATAATTTTAAAAATACACTTAGAATGAAGTTACATATATATAATATATATTTTTTTATGTTTATATATATATATATATATATATATACGTATAATTACAATAATAAATAAGTAAAATAATAAAATAAATTAAATAATTTTTTTTAAATTTAAAATAAATTATATATACATATGTAATTTCATTCTAACACTATCTTGTTATTAATATATATATGTATTGGTAACAAAATACACTTAGAATAACACTCTATATATATCTATCTATATATAAAATCAATAACCGCAAATATATATATAAAGATAAATATATATAATTACATAAATGATTACATAAGTATTCACGTAGAATTTAAATACATATATATGTATATATATATTAAAATTCTATGTGTATATTTAAGTAATCTTTTAACATAAGTATGTGATTTGAGTAATTAAAATTTGAGTGACGTGTCTGACAACCCAGGCAGAAAGTTCAGAGAATTTGATTTGCAAGCACTATATTTAACCATGTAACTTTCCAAGACACCATAAAACCTGTATGTTACAAACTGCCTTTTGTAACTGGTTCTTTATGTGACAAATTGCCCTGTTCCCCTGACTTATGGAGAAGCCTGATTGCCAGCCTCCTGCCTCATGACTATGGCCCCTGGGAAGTATTGCCATTTAAAAACACTATTTGGATTTATTGGTGTTTAAAAGACTGGCCCTTTAAATGAAACTGGCTGCTTTGTACCTCCTCAACCTCTCATCAGCCCGTGCTAAACTTTAACCCCCTGGTGATTTTATTCTGTTCGTGGGATCTGAGCGCTGTTCGGATATATTGAGCGCACTATCTGACTGTGTGTGTGTGTGTGTCTGACTGTGTGTGTGTGTCTGACTGTGTGTTTATGTCTGACTGTGTGTGTGTTTGTGTGTGTGTGTCAGACTGTGTGTGTGTGTTTGTGTCTGACTGTGTGTGTCTGTGTGTGTGTGTTTGTGTCTGACTGTGTGTGTGTTTGTGTCTGACTGTTTGTGTGTGTGTGTATTTAGAAGGTGGGGCGGGGGAAGGGTTGGGTGGGAGTGGCCTAGGGCAGCACAAAACCAGGATACACCACTACATAGGGGGTACTGTTTTATTTGGGAGACTTCACTGATATTAGTGTTTCAAAATGATAAATTGTGTTACAATGATGATATTTTCAGTAAAAGTTAAGTTTTTTGCATTTTTCACACACGAACTGCACTTTTACTGACGATGTTATTGTTGTAATATGTTTTACTGTTTTGAAACACTTATGTTTGTGTTTAGTGAAGTCTTCCGAGAATAACAGTACCCCCATGTACAGGTTTTATGGTGTTTTGGAAAGTTAGAGAGTCACATATAAGGCTTGCATTTCATTTTTTGTTTACATTGAAATTTGCCAGATTGGTTATGTTGCCTTTGAGAGCGTATGGTAGCCCAGGAATGAGAATTACCCTCATGATGGCATACCATTTGCAAAAGTAGACAACCCAAGGTATTGCAAATGGGGTATGTCCAGTCATTTTTAGTAACCACTTAGTCACAAACACTGGCCAAATATTTGTTTTTTGCTTTTTTTCACCCAAAAACAAATATGAACGCTAACTTTGGCCAGTGTTTGTGACTAAGTGGCTACATACCACACTTGCAATACATTTGGTTGTGTACTTTTGGGTTCCTGGGTTACCACATTCCTGGGTTACCACACTGTCTCAAAGTTAACATTACTAATCTGGCAAATTTTAATGTGAAAAAAATAAAAATGGAATGTGTTATATTTGACCCTGTAATTTTCCAAAACATCATAGAATCTGTTAATGGGGGGTACTGTTGTACTCGTGAGACTTTGCTGAATACAAATATGGGCATTTTATTGCAGTAAACGCTAACAGTATTATGACATTTACAGCTAAAATGTCAGGCGGACCTACAAATTTTTGTAAAAATCTTAATTTCTCACCCTTTTTTAAATTTTATTTATAATAAATTATGTTTCATATATGAATAGTTCATGAGAAATTAAAGCCCTGTTTCTCCTGAACAAAACAATATATAATAAGTGTGGGTGCACTTAATGTGACAGCGGTGAATTACGGGTGAACAGACATATAGCGCAAATTCAAGTTTTTGTTTACATTTTGTTTTGATCAGAACGTGCACTATTGACTCCGTCCTGAAGGGGTTAACATGTATAGCTTGGAGGAAAGACTAGACGGGGGAGATATGATAGAAACATTTAAATACATAAAGGGAATCAAAATAGTAAAGGAGGAGACTATGTTTAAAAGAAGAAAAACTACCACAACAAGAGGACATAGTCTTAAATTAGAGGGGAAAGGTTTAAAAGTAATATCATGAAGTATTACTTTACTGAGAGGGTAGTGGACACATAGAATAGCCTTCCAGCTGAAGTGGTAGAGGTCAACACAGTGAAGGAGGTTAAGCATGCGTGGGATAGGTATAAGGCTATCCTAACTATAAGATAAGGCCAGGGACTAATGAAAGTATTTAGAAAATTGGGCAGACTAGATGGGCCGAATGGTTCTTATCTGCCGTTACATTCTATGTTTCTATCCCTCTAGGCACGGTGAAATTTCTGATCCTGGCTACTAGATTTACTGGTTAAGCACCTATTTAAGATTAATTATTGTTTGTTCCATAGTGAACTAAGTGTAGTCTGAAGGCCTGCAGATCAGTGATATATAAAAAATAAAAAAGACATGCAAAATTATCCCTTGTAATTTTTAACTATTCTGCTATTAGTAGGCTTTAATATACTTTGTTAAATAAGGCCACAAAAACAAAATGATGTGTCAATTAATTATTACAGTTAATATTTCCATCACTAAAGTGAGAATTCAAAACAAATTTCAAATCTAAGACCAAATTAGAAACACTTAGAGAATTTTTGCACTTCAGCTGTTTTTACCTTAAATTTGAAATTTATTTTGAATTAAAGGACCACTATAGTGCCAGGAAAACATACTCGTTTTCCTGGCACTATAGTGCCCTGAGGGTGCCCCCACCCTCAGGGTCCCCCTCCCGCCTGGCTCTGGAAAGGGGAAAGGGGTTAAAACTTACCTTTTTCCAGCGCTGGGCGGGGAGCTCTCCTCCTTCTCTCCTCCTCCGTTCCTCCTCCTGGGCTGAATGCGCACGCGCGGCAAGAGCTGCGCGCGCATTCAGCCCGTCGCATAGGAAAGCATTTACAATGCTTTCCTATGGACGCTGGCGTGCTCTCACTGTGAAAATCACAGTGAGAAGCACGCAAGCGCCTCTAGTGGCTGTCAATGAGACAGCCACTAGAGGCTTTGGGGGAAGGCTTAACCCATTCATAAACATAGCAGTTTCTCTGAAACTGCTATGTTTATAAATAAATGGGTTAACCCTAACTGGACCTGGCACCCAGACCACTTCATTAAGCTGAAGTGGTCTGGGTGCCTAGAGTGGTCCTTTAACGTTGAAATCTTGCTTTAGTACATAACCCTGTTGGGCTTTAGATATTTATAGTGTACCTGGCACCTGAAAAATCTAACTTTACATTAAGCACAAATAAACATTTTCTTTTTTTATTTACATTTTTAAAATGTGTTCACCTATCTTTTATATATTAATAACACATCTGTACTTGTTTTGCCTATGTTTTGTACTTTGAAATTAAACATATTCTGCACAGTAGTATCATTATTATTGCAGCAATATGTTTCTGCTTGTAAAACAGGTCTTCATTTGAATAACCAAATAAAACAGGTGGAATGGAAAATCACCATAGCTGGAAATCTATCTCTCTTTTTTTTTTTTTTACACATATTTATGTGATAGTACAGGGAGATGATGATACCATGTTAACTAGTAAATATATATATGAATGTTTTTTAACAACAATCATAAAAAGTAATGCAGCGGAGACTCTTTAGTTGATTAGTTTAGAGATTGAAGGTAGTAATTTACTATATTTGTTGAGGCAAGAGGGAGTCAGGAGGGCTAGATGGTGGTTTTAACACTATAGGGTCAGGAATACATGTTTGCGTTCCTGACCCTATAGTGTTCCTTTAAGCAGTCGCGTTTATTGCAAAATTCCAAAATGAGCCAAAAAATGGAAACGCAAACTAGGGGAGCACACAGCCACACTAAGAGGATAGCCGCCTAATGTGTTTTGTGCCACTAGGATACTTATTCATAGTGAGTAAGTACCCTAGTGTAATGAAGTATGTTAGGTGGCTCTCCTCTTGCAGTGCAGTGGTGGGCTTTTGTTGTTTGCTGTACCATTTTTTGTGTTCAATTTGTAAATGTGTAATAAGCTCTACTGTTTAATGCCTAACTCATTTTTGGAATACCACCCTATTAGAGGAAGTATGAGAGTAGTTCGACTACTGGTGGAGTATAATCAAAGCTTGGGCTTGTCACCTGTGGGGTACCTCAGGGATCTGTACTTGGACCCATTCTCTTTAATATTTTTATTAGTGATATTGCAGAAGGTCTTGATGGTAAGGTATGTCTTTTTGCCGATGATACTAAGATATGTAACAGGGTTGATGTTCCAGGAGGGATAAGCCAAATGACAAATGATTTAGGTAAACTAGAAAAATGGTCAGAATTGTGGCAACTGACATTTAATGTGGTTAAGTGCAAGATAATGCATCTTGGACGTAAAAACCCAAGGGCAGAGTACAGAATATTTGATAGAGTCCTAACCTCAACATCTGAGGAAAGGGATTTAGGGGTGATTATTTCTGATGACTTAAAGGTAGGCAGACAATGTAATAGAGCAGCAGGAAATGCTAGCAGAATGCTTGGTTGTATAGGGAGAGGTATTAGCAGTAGAAAGAGGGAAGAGCTTATGCCATTGTACAGAACACTAGTGAGACCTCACTTGGAGTATTGTACGCAGTACTGGAGACCGTATCTCCAGAAGGATATTGATACTTTAGAGAGAGTTCAGAGAAGGGCTACTAAACTGGTTCATGGATTGCAGGTTAAAACTTACCAGGAAAGGTTAAAGGATCTTAACATGTATAGCTTGGAGGAAAGACGAGACAGGGGGTTATGATAGAAACATTTAAATACATAAAGGGAATTAACACAGTAAAGGAGGAGACTATATTTAAAAGAAGAAAACCTACCACAACAAGAGGACATAGTCTTAAATTAGAGGGACAAAGGTTTAAAATAATATCAGGAAGTATTACTTTATTGAGAGGGTAGAGGATGCATGGAATAGCCTTCCCGCTGAAGTGGTAGAGGTTAACACAGTAAAGGAGTTTAAGCATGCGTGGGATAGGCATAAGGTTATCCTAACTATAAGATAAGGCCAGGGACTAATGAAAGTATTTAGAAAATTGGGCAGACTAGATGGGCCGAATGGTTCTTATCTGCCGTCACATTCTATGTTTCTATGTTTCTATGGTGTGAATTGATATTGGGATAAGGCAGGATTGACTTCTGCTTTATATGTGTCTCTGTGAGGAAAATTCAGGGTCCCCATGCCGAGCGTGGGGACGCTGAATGGCAGAGCTGCCTACTGTGCAGCACTGAGCCAGGAAGCAATTCCAGTGGCCACTTGGAGGTCTCCCTAGGGGCAATGTAAGCACTGCCTTTTCTCTGAAAAATTTAGTGTTTTCATGTAAATGCCTGAAGGCAATGATTATACTCACCAGAATAACTACATTAAGCTGTAGTTGTTCTGATGACTATAGTGTCCCTTTAAAGTGTTTTAAAAGTGTTGCCTTATTTGGTTTGTATATTCCAACAATGATATAACTTCTCAATAGAGGGATTTGTATAAATTGAGGGGCAGGGCAGGCAAGTGACACATAAGATTCATAAGGAACCCACAAGCCACTTACACATTAAGTGGAATTGAGTTAGGGATAGCATTACAAAAAAAGGACTTGGCCACAACTATGGATTACAAAGTAGGGAACAAGATGCAATGCCTATCTGACTTTTTGAAAGCTATTAAGGTGCTTTCATGTATAAAAAGGTGTGTTGATTCAGGTGTTCAATACGAACAAAATTGCAGAACTAGAAAGAGTGCAGAGGCAAGCTAGAAAATTAGTAAGGGGGATGGAAAACATTAGTTAGGAAAGGCTAGAAAAAATGGATGTGTTTAATCAAAAAAAAAAAACACATCAGAGTAGACATGATAGCGTTATACAAATATATACAGGGTCCGTTATGTGCTAACCTGTTCATTAGTAAGAATATACAACAGACAAGATGTGACCCATTGAGACTGGAAGAAAGGAATTTTTGCTCACAGCGAAGATGTGGAATTCTCTGCCTAAAAAGGTTGTCTTATCAGATTCTATAGATATGTTTAAAAAGTCTTGGATGACTTTTAAATTATGATTCAAGGATATAATAGAAATGTATCTAAACAAGTTATTGATCCAAGGGGAAATCTGATTGGCATTATTGGATTGGCATTGTGGCATAATTTGAAATGTGTTTTTTGCCTTCTTTTCGATCAACATTGTTACGTCCCAGAATACTGAGTGAATATTGTGCTGTGTGTGTATAGAAGCGATGTAACAGAATGTCAGAACATGTGTAAAAAGTAGTGGCTAAGACAGAATATTGATCACTCAAGCCATTAAAAAATTCACTTGTAGGCACAGATTATTCACTGACCTTGATAAATCTTCCACCATTTTCTCTTCATGCCTGTTTTGTATTATATAATAATTAGATGTTAGGAATATCTTATAGAGTTTTTCATAAAAATAATTTCTTTTCATTAGATTCCAAACAGAATGGTGATGCCAACGCAGTTATGTCGGATGAAGATCATGGAGATCCACCACAGTTCCTTCCACTCGAAGAAAAGCAAATAATGAGATGTGCAAGTGCCAAAGACAAAACAAAGTCAGCAGCCTCCTGCTTTCTACTAGGTTCTGGAGAGTTTACGTGTGCTGCAGATGGTGGAATACGAAAAGGAATGAGAGATATGGACATAGAGATGGACTCACAGATTCTCTTAGGTTCTTCATAAAATAAATATATCCGAGTGATCACGAGCTAGATGTATACCATGTCTCAAAATATTTCATAGTCTTCCCACAGGAAGCAAATACAACCTACATAGGTGAGGTGTTAACAGTCTGTCTCTATCACCTGTGCGAGTGGTAAAAATGGTCGCGCTTCTTCGTATCTCTTACCTCTGTTAAACTAAAAATTAAAATATATTTCCTCTGTTAAAAACGTAACAGTATGCATTGTATTGCCTGTGAGTAACGATGATTCTTTAATGAAGTTGTAATCTATTTTTGGTAATAAAAATAAAGTGGCAGTTGCAAAACTGAACTTCAGAATATTAAAAAAACAAGATTCTTAAATCAAAATGCGTTTTGATGTATTTTTATTTAACAGCAGTATTCCATGTTTTTTATTTTCAGAAGTTTGTTTCAAATTGTGTGAAATAGATTTGAGGCAAATCACACAAGGATTCCAAACACATTTGCATGTTTAATAAGTCAAAACATTTTTATTTAAACTTTCCTTTCTTTTTTATGTATACGAAATAAAATACCTCTTGCTACCATACCGGTGATTGTTTAGAAATAAATACTATAATATTGCCGCATAAAAACTTCAAGGCCTTGATTTAATATTTTTGGATAAGCCTTCAAAATTATAAATTTTCTATGAAAAAATATATCATACATAATAAATTATACAAAAAATAGCAAAATATTTAAAGATTTCTAAAAATATTAAATCATGTTAAAAATTTACCTCTAAATGTGAAATAATTAAAAGGCTTATCCAAATTTATTCAATCCATGCATTGGTTAGGAGACTTATTCGAATATATATTCAATCTAGGCAATCAGTTAGGAGACTTATGTCAGACATTTATTGGAGTTACAATCCACACTATTTTGAAGGTATGTACGCATAGCAATACATTCCAATTAGCCCCCAGCCCTAGCCATAAGTACCCCCTAATCCTATACAAACCTTAGCTCCAACTGTAAGGCCTCTAACCCTATCAACCCCAAATGCTTCAGACCTCTTCTAACCCTTTCCTCAGCAAACCTTATTTTAACCTCCACTTAAAACCTCATAAACTAAACCTACCACTTAACAACATCCCTATTAATGTCACCATTATTAATAGTGGTATTAGTCTTTACATACTTATGAACACAGAGACATCACAGCATCTATATAGCCTGGTGTAGATACTAGCTCTTTTCCAGATAGAGACCATCACTCAACTTGGAATGCAGTATGTACTGTTATAATACATAATACCAGTTATCATGAATAAGACAGAAGATCTTTCACTGTAGGAACTGTAAATTCATTAAGTTATTGCACATCACAGACAGGTCTGAGTGAGCGTGGAGACAATAAATGTAAGTGCTGCACACTGTGCAGTACTGACCCAGGAAGCACCTCTAGTGGCCGTCTAAATGACTGACACTAGAGGTGTTACTAGACAGTCATGTAAACACTGCCTTGCCTACATTAAAATCCTGCAGGGACATACTATACACACCAGAACAGCTACATTTAAGGAGAACTATAGGGTCAGGAACATTCATGACCCAGGAAGGATCTCTAACAGCTATCTGAGGAGTGGCCAGTGAAGTTATCACTAGGCTGTAATGTAAACACTGCATTTTCTCTGAAAAGACAGTGTTTACAGCAAAAAGCCAGAAGGTAATGAGTCTACTCACCAGAACAAATGCAATAAGCTGTAGTTGTTCTGGTGACTATAGTGTCCCTTTAATACTTTCCATTTCTATAAAAAAACACACAGATTATCAGTTATTTTAAGCAATGAAAGAGTAAACTGTAGGAAGAGTCACACTTGCAGAGAATTACTAAGAACAACTATACATCCCAGACATGAGAGCAGACCATTGTGTTGAAAGCTGTCATGAACAACAAACATATGCTACGGGGCTCATGTTATAAAGTGGATACAGACGGTGATGGTTTTTCCGTTACCGTTTTATTCCCCATAATATGATGTTGTACATGCTTTATGTGCTGCTCATGCTTTAAAATGCAGTTTGTCAGAAGTTTGCCTCATGCTGACAATTCCTATTAAGGATGAAACTGTCAGTACATGAGTGGATTCTTCAGCACAACATCCTCTAACATGCAGTGGTGTATCCTGGTTTTGTGCTGCCCTAGTCAGGACAAAACTCAGGTGCCCCCCATCCCCCCAAGCCACCCCCACCCAACACTTCCCCCCCCACCCACCTTCTAAATACACACACAGACACACACACACACACACACAGTCAGACACACACACAGTCAGACACAAACACACACACACACACAGTCAGACAGACACAAACACTCACAGTCAGACACACACACACAGTCAGACACACACACACACACAGTCAGACATACACAGAGTCACACACACACACACACAGTCAGACACAAACACACACACAGTCAGATACACACACAGTCACACACACACAGTCAGACACACAAAGTCAGACACAAACACACACACACATACACAGTCAGACACACACACAGTCAGACACACACACACACACACACAGTCAGACACACACAGTCACACACACACACAGTCAGACACACACACACAGTCAGACACACACACACACACAGTCAGACACACACACACACACACAGTCAGACACACACACAGTCAGACACACACACACACACACACAGTCAGACACACACACATAAACAGTCAGACACACACACACTAACACTTTTTTTTATTATTTAACCCCCCCCCCCGCCTTCTTACCTTCAGGAATGCTGGGGGGGGTCTCTCTCTCCCTGGGGGTCCAGTGCCGGTCGGGCTGCTGGCGAGGGAGCACTTCCTCTGAGCGGTCTGCTCAGCTACCTCACGCGCCGCAGAGTGAGGCTGGGAGCCGGGTTGATGACGTCATATTCTGGCTCCCAGCCTCACTCTGCGGCGCGCGAGGGAGCTGAGCAGACCGCTCAGAGGAAGTGCTCCCTCGCCAGCCACCCGCCGGACCATCAGCCAGCGCCGCCCAGCGCCCAGCATGTCAGTTAGCCGCGAGGCTAACAAGACATTTGCCCTGGGCATTTCGGGGCGGCGTTTTTTTGCCTCTCCCTGAAAAATGCAGCCCAAGGCAAATGCCTTGTTTGCCTCGCAGCTAAAACGCCCCTGCTAACATGGGATATGTTTCAAAAGCTCTCAAGAATCATACATGAGTATCTTAAACATAAGTTAATAGTAACCATTAAAGACTTGATTACTTTCTTATTCCCAGAAACTCAGAAGGCAGTTTAATCTTTGTAAACTATGCAATTCTTAGAATGAAATAAACATGTGTATTCGGACTTTTCTTAATGTGTAGTCATTAGGGTGACCACATTTCGAAAATGCCATTCAGGGACACTTCCTTGCTCCTCCCAGACCCTCTCTTCACACCGAACACAGTGGCATAGCGTAGGTTTCAGCGTCAATTCCCCCCCATATTTCATATCGCCCCATATTTCATGTACACCACCCATTTCATGTCCATCCCCCCCCATATTTCATGTCCATTCCCCCATATTTTATGATTAGGGGGGTGAGGCTTGGGGGGCAGCCTATAGATTAGGGGAGTGAGGCATGTGGGGGGCAGCCTATAGATTAGGGGAGTGAGGCTTGGGGAGCAGCCTATAGATTAGGCGAGTGAGGCATGGGGGCAGCCTATAGATTAGGGAAGTGAGGCATGTGGGGGGGCAGCCTATAGATCAGGGAACTGAGGCATGTGGGGGCAGCCTATAGATTGGGGAGTGAGGCTTGGGGCAGCCTATAGATTAGAGTGAGGCATGGGGGGCTATAGATTAGGGAGTGAGCATGGGGGCAGCCTATACAGATCAGGGAGTGAGGGATGTGGGGGCAGCCATAGATTAGGGGAGTGAGGCATGGGGGGCAGCCTATAGATTAGGGAAGTGAGGCATGGGGGGCAGCCTATAGATTAGAGGAGTGAGGCATGGGGGGCAGCCTATAGATTAGGAAGTAGGGCAGCCTATAGATTAGGAAGTGAGGCATGGGGGCAGCCTATAGATTAGGGAGTGAGGCTTTGGGGGGCAGCCTATAGATTAGGAGTGGGGCATGGGGGCAGCCTATAGAGTGGAATTATGAGGATGTAGGCAGCCTATAGATTAGAGTGAGGCATGGGGGGCAACCTATAGATTAGGGGAGTGAGACATGGGGGCAGCCTATAGATTAGGGGAGTGAGGCATGTGGGGGCAGTTTATAGATTAGGGGAGTGAGGCATGTGGGGGCAGCCTATAGATTAGAGAAATGAGGCATGGGGGGCAGCCTAGAGATTAGGGGAGTGAGGCATGGGGGCATCCTATAGATTAGGGAGGTGAGGCATGTGGGGCAGCCTATATGGAGTGGAAGTGAGGCATGTGGGGCAGCCACAAAGATTAGGGGAGTGAGGCATGGGGCAGCCAATAGATTAGGGATAGAGGCTTCATGTGGGGGCAGCCTAGTGAGGATGGGGTCAGGGGAGTGAGGCATGTGGGGGGCAGCCTATAGATTAGGGGAATGAGGTATGTGGGGGGCAGCCTACTGATTAGGGTAGTGAGGCATGTGGGGGGGGCAGCCTACAGATTAGGGAAGTGAGGCATGGGGGGGCAGCCTACAGATTAGGAAATTGAGGCATGGGGGGCAGCCTATAGATTAGGGAAGTGAGCATAGACGTGCGCAGCCTATATCATTAGGGTGTGCACCCTAAAGCACAAACACACGCCACGTGTATATGTATGTATGTCTGTGTATATATATTTATATATATATATACACACATACATACAGTGCTGTGTGAGGGTGCTAGGTGTGTAAGGGTGCGGTGTGTGTGTGTGTGTGTGTGTGTGTGTAAGGGTGCTGTTAGTGTGCTGTGTGTGAGGGAACTGGCAGTGTGCTGTGTGTGTGTGAGGGTGTTTGTGTGTGCATGTTTGTTAGGGTCCTGTTAGTGTGCTGTGTGTGTGTGAGGGCACTGTGTGTGAGGGTGCGGTCTGTGTGTGGGTGTTGTGTGTTTGTGAGGGTGCTGTTTGTGTGTGTGTGCTGTTTGTGTGTGGGTGCTCTATGAGTGTTGTGTGTGGGTTTTGTGTGTTTGTGATGATGCTGTTAGTGTGCTGTGTATGTGTAGGTGCTGTTTGTGTGTGTGTGCTGTTTGTGTGTGTGTGCTGTATGTTTGGGTGGAGGTGGGGGCAGATTAGTTAATATCTCCGCTCCCTTCTTACCTCATGTAGGGAGGGGGGACCGTGCTGCTGCCTTCCCTGGTGGTTCAGCGGAGAGTGAAC